ACATCACCTTATGGAACCACAAGACCGTCAATACATTTCCTAGTTCGCAGCTTCGACTACCAATCAGCCTTCGGCCTAGTTCGCCCTTCCTGCACTGTCCCGCCCTATGTCTTGTCTATGTTCCCTTTGCTTTAATACTACACTCGTTTACTCCGTACCAGCTGCGGTAAGAGTTTAAGAACTAGGCTATAGGACTCCTGTACATGAAGAAGTGGGGAGCACAAAAGAAGAGTGAATACTTAGAGTATCTCCATTCCCTGAGAAAAGGATCTTGTCAGTATCTATAGAAATGATCTTTTCCCCACGTTCAACTGTAGCAATAGCCCCTGAATCTAGAGCTGCTTGGCGTTCTAACCCAGTCCCTGCATTTCTCCGACCGAGAAAGCGGAACTGCCTGACGTTGCATATTCGAACTCATTAAAGCCCTATTCGCGTCATTATGTTCAATAAAAGGAATGAGGGAAGCTCCAATAGATTCTTATTGGAAGGGGAGGTAGGTCGAACTGATCTCTTCAGCCACTTCCACAACCTTGATCTCATACTTAGATAAGCGCATCGTTGCTCGGGTTCCTTCCATTACGCGTCTTCCTCGATGCTATCCCGGTTAGAAAGAAAAGTAGACCCTTTCGGGTTTTAGCTTACGGGGAAAGCTTACGAAATTAACAGAAAAAGGAAGATAACTCCAGTCCGAAGAATAAGATTGTGATAGTACCCCGGCGGAGACCAGGCCTACAGATCTACAGAGTATCCTCTCCTGTCCGCAAACAAGCCATGCCAGGCAGGATGAGTACCCCGTCCGAACCGTCAGATCAGGAAAGACTGCATGCCCTATCTATTCCCCGTTCGCAGCGCCTACTACTAGTTCGAGCTCCATCCGTATACCCGTACAAGCCCCTACTGAGGAAAGCTATTCAAGTCAAAATACCGAGCACTTCTCTCAAATATCCGTTCGAGCCAACAATGCAAAGCTAGCTCTCAAGTTAGCCCAAGAAAAGCTTCACGACAATCCCGACGACATGGAGGTGAAGGCTACGTTACCCGTTGCGCTAACGCGCATCCGTTTTCTTAGCGCAACGGCTTTCGCGCGTCTTGCTCAATCCCTTGCTTGTTCAGTTCAGTCATAAAGGAAGCAAAGTGACTCCAAAGTTGGAGTCGATCTCAACCATTAGACGATGAAAGCCCACCCTCTGTGCCACCTTTAATCCCTCCTTGACACCAATGAGTTCGGCTTGAAGAAAAGGGGCTTATGTCCTTATCACTAAAGGACGAAGACAGGAGCGGAAGGAGGGACTTGAACCCTCAACCTTAGCCTTGGCAAGGCTATGCTCTACCATTAAGCTATTTCCGCCAGCCCATAGAAGATCTAAAGGGAGCATAAAACAGGGTAATGGAGTTTAAAAAAATGGAAAAAAGCAGGGCGGGAAATGGTAAGATCCCAAATATAGATATCCTTGCCGGGACGCAAGGTTACTCCTGCAAGGCGGGCCGCTGTGAAGGCATTTCATAGAATGGACTCGAGTGAAGATGAGGCTGAGAAAGAAGATCCCGCACAGTCCATGACATAGATGTAAGGTTCGATTAAATTAACCAGTATCGGTCCAGTTCTCCAACCAAAGATTGCAATTTACTTCTCGTATTCGGACGCGGATATGGGGTTCTAGTCGTCTAGCGGTGGGAACCGGCTGGTATGGATCAATTGCTTGCCCTGTCTCTCTTCTGTTCAACCATCTAGAATCCGCTGTTCTCTTTGCTCTTGTTGTTGGATCTGAGCTGAATTGTACACTCACTTGCTGGAGAACAGACTTGTGGCCCCCACGTATATAGAGCCACTTAAACCTCCATATCCCAGGTGGTTCGATGAAAAAGCTGAATGCGAGTATCATGCCAAAGTGAAAGGGCACTCTATTGAAAAAAACTGCACAGCTTTTAAGAGGAAGGTCCAAAGCCTTGTCGAGGCCAAAATCCTGACTTTTGAAAAGGATCCCAATGGGGGAGTCCGTCAGTTGCCAAAGCGTATCATCAGAAAAGGCTACGAAGGAAGGAGAACGAAGCGAAGTGAAGTCCTGGTGTAATTGACCTCTTTCTCAACGATAAAATAAAGAGAAAGGAAAAAAAGCAGAACTTCTTATAATAAGATATTTTCCCTCTCTATATACTCTATAGGGCGCCCAGTCCAGGAGACTCAAGATATAAGTCATTCGGCTTGCGGGAGGGCCTCAAAATCTTCCCACTCTGTAAGGTCTCTGGTTACCTATTCATTGACTACTCAGTTAGGGAAGGCCAATGATGTTTCGCGAACAATTTCTTCATCTTCCTAGATCGGAGCATATAAAGCGTGCCAAGCATTCGTTCCCCACGTTCGAGCTAGAGGTTGGTTGGCTAAGCCACTAAGCTAAGGTATGAAAGGCTCGTCGCTAACGCGACCACGACTAACGCTAGTGAGGATTTAAATAGATGAATATCTTCTATTGAATTCATCTTTCTTTATCACTGCGGGTAGAAGATGAGTTCCGTAAGGCTTTGAGGGAGATTCGTCATTCTGTAGTAGTGGGTATAGCGCGTAGCTGGCCTTTTGTCCAAGAAACGTAATGGTCGAAGACAAAACATCTGAGCTAGCGGTCGAATTCCAAGAAAAAGCGGCTGAAAGCACTCTCGGAGAGAGAGAACTGCAATAAATCTCTTTGAATTTCTATGAACAGAATTGGATTTCTTCGAAGAGACTGCACAAAAGCTAAAACTATATGGTCTGTAAGAGATAGGAATCGGGCTTAAAAAGCCCTTAGCTGGCACCCGGAGATATGCGGGAGGCCAAAGTCCAGAAAGGGGGGAACCATCCCCCTCTTTTGGTCACTCTCCCTCCCCAATATATGATAAGCCAACGATATGATAAGGGTTGCCTTCTTGTTCTCTTCACTCTTTCCTTCTCTTCTTTGCGATAAAGTTGTCAGCATGCCTTTCCCATTCCTTGGAGGTATGGAGCCTCCGCCTACTCTACTTTAGTATGCGCTAGGGATGAAGCGGAGCTCCTTCTTGTTGTGCTCGATCCCCAGATGAGCAATAAGGGATGCGACCAAAACCGTGGCTCCATACCGTATGGATGCCCCACTGGACTGGATCGAAACGAGGCCTAGGATTAGGAATTGGAATCCCCACATGCATAGAAGGGTACGGCCCTTTCCC